TTTAAAACCACCGTCCTCTCATTTTGTACTGATGTAAATAACTACAAAGGGTGTAAGGCAATGGAAAATTTGGCCCACCCGAGGATTGCTTTGCACATAGGCATCCCTGAAATTGGCAGCCTACCCTTGTGGTGCAACCTGAACTCTTGCTGTCATATTTGATATTTCCAGGAACTGTTACTATCAGATACTGTTGCCCCTCCACCTGACCTGCCACGAATATCATTAATTATCAGTTTAGGCCAACTTCATGGTATCATCTGGGAAATACCAGTTAGAGGAAGTTAGGAAAGACAGTTCTGATAATGTCAGGTGCCCATGAATTTAGACTTTAGAATTTAGACAAAAGTCTTGTTGGCCTCTCTGACCCTCATATTCAATGTATCTGTTTCATGTGACAACTGTGGTTTTATTATTTCCAAGTGAAGAAAAATCTTGCAGTTCTTGGCAACCCTGATTCTGGTTCTGATCAATCCTGGCAAAGAATATATTTTTGTTTTTAACAACCCTTCCCATGGTAAGACAACAAACACCTGTGCTACATCATAATTCCCTGGATTGCTCAAATTCCCACATTCAAACAATAATTGTAACTTTTAATTGGGTTTTAAGGAAACAGAAACTAAATGTTGATATTCCCACTGAAATGTACCACTACTGCAGTCCATTGTGCTGGAGCCACAGACATTTCAATAGTTTGTGCCAACCAATACAGTTAAATTGTTGTCAGAGCATAGATAAGATGCCATGCCGGCTTTTTATTTACTTTATTTAAATCCATCACTAGTGAGCTGCTGGATAAATAAGCTTCACCTGACCTGATTTTAAAAATAATCTGCAATGCCAGCAATTTAATTATTTTACTTTCAGTTAATTATTAGGCATTGTGTGTGTGTGTGTTATGGTAGTGCCTAGAGGCCCCAACCATGGTTGGGGCACCATTGTGCTAGGCACTGTACATACATGTAGTAAGATCCAAAAGGTGGGAGGGGAAACTGAAGGACAAAGAGGAAAAATAACTTCAAGCTCCAAAGTCACAAAGCAGTTCAGTGGCAGAGCCAGGAATTAGAACCTGAATTCTTGACCCACCGGCAGTGCCCTATCCAATGAGTGATACTGCCTCTTTTTTGGTGATAAGTTTCATAGACAGAGGAAACTTTGCTCAGTTTTTGTTCCCCCTCCTGCTTTACTTGGCAAAGCTGTTTAGTTCCATTCTCTTGCAGCCACCAAAACTTACAACTCTATTTAAAACTTGTTTGGCTGCTTGTAATTCACAGAACAGTACTGTCTTTGGCGTATATATGTGTTTCTGTGCATGTCTAGTGGCAGTCACTGAGATTACATAATTAATTTAGGATTCGCATCCCACTAAGCCAGCTTTTTAACTGAAATATTGATACTGAAACTTGCAACCTGACCTCAGATATGCTTTGAGTGTCAATGTACTGCAAGCCTTCCTCACAACTTATGCACAGTTGAGGACTTAGTCAACTCTCAGTTACAGTACCAATAAGAAAGGCTCTGGATAAATAGAGTGCAGGAGAATGCAAGTTTTGTACATATAATAAGTGGCCTACATTTAGTGTGTTTATAGGTAAAAGGTTGAATTTATGTCCAGTTTTTTTGAAACATGAAGGAAATGAAGACACACTCAAAAATACCATTCCTTTAAATGTTAGCGACACTTCCAATAACATTTCACCAGTATTCTGATGAGTCCTGTGGTGGACTAATTTAAAAATGAAGTAAGATTAGTTTCTATTAAATGTCTATAAGGGCTAACTCCCCCTGAAGTAAATGGAAAGGATCTCATCGCCTTCAGCTGGAGTTGGATTGGGCCCTATATTATTGTATAGCCCAGGACAATTAGAAAGTGCAAAGGTACTGATTGTAAGTATGTTATTGTGGCATATTGACATGAAATAATATCTCTCAAAAGTTAGTATTCACTATTGCTTTATTAAAAATATCAAATCCAGATTTCAAGCATGAAATCTGCTATCATTTACTTTTTAGCTCTCCTTTTGGTCACAGCCTGCTATTGTTTAAATTGATTTCACACCCATTTGTTTAAAAAACACAATAACATTGATTTTTGTTGCTGTTTTACCATGTAGGTTAATCTCCGAGCCACTGACGTCAGGCTCATGCGCCAGCTGCTCATCATCAATGAAAGCATTGAATCAATAAAGTGGGTGATTGAAGAGAAGGGAGCCATCATCAGCAGAGGTAGCAGTTTGAGTGGCAGCCTTTGCAGCTTGCTGGAAAGTCAGGAGACCTCCCTGCAAGGCAGCTATAACAGTTTACAAGACTGTAGTGATGGCCTGGATGGAATATCAGTGGGGAGTTATCTGGACACTTTGGTGGATGATGTCCCAGGTCACCACACACCTTCAGATATGGAACAGTTCACTGATACTTCTATTCTAGAGGATTCACAGACCCTGCACAAGCATCCCAAAATTGAGTCTGATGAATACTACTGTTTTGGTTAATAAAAAGAAGTTCCAGAGGGACATGAGTGCACTTGTATTTATCTTCTTTCTTTGCTGCTATTTTATTTTGTGTGCAAAAGAAAAAATCCCTTTTTAAAGGAAAATTTACTTTGAATCCACTTTAGAATTTTGCTGTTGCTTCTAACTTTCCTCATTCTGGGTGGTTTGTTTGCTTTTTTCCCTTTTCTTTATCTTAATTTATTGCTGTGGTTTTGGGTTTTGTTTTATAATCCCATATTTACAACTTTAAAAAAGATGAAGGAAATAAGCTTTTATCTTCAAAACAAGACATCAGGGATTGAAAGTACCAGTTTATATTTGTTTGACAATAAAACACCTACTGATACCTGTAGTTTGTAGTTAATCTTCTTTAGTAACTAATAGTCTTGCTTTCCAAAAAGGCATTATTTTAACTGAAGGAGTTTGCGCTTTCTAGTTCTCCAATCTTTGGCCTTGAATCTGCTAACACCTATGCAAGAGATTAACTTTACTCATGAGAGTAGCCACATTTCACTATATCACAGGGTGCATGTTCCTTCTGATAAGGACTGGGACTAATCCCCTGAAACAAGGTAGCTGCCTCTCAGTGGAGCCAGTGGAGCCTAGTTGAGTACACCTGGGACTAATTCTGTTGGCGCTATCAGTCCCAGCTGGGGTATGGCTCGGAGCATTTTGCAAGAAGAGGCATTCAGGAGAGTAAAGGAGGTTCTTTGCAGGCTCTCCTTGGGGTCTGAGAGGCAGAACTGCCTGGAGTAGAAGTTTAGTCAGGGGTGGCTGGAAATTGTTGCCAGAATCTCCTGGAGAAGATAGAAGCCAAGGTGGGGTGGGTTATAATTGTTTGGCATGAGTTTAACCTTGGAATAAGAAGCTCCTCATTTCCCAGGGGACTTCAGGGGAGGTGGGAATCTAGTTGTCCAGCATAAGGAATAGGAGTGGCACGAGGCTTTTAAGAGTCCATATGAACAACCAGCAATAAGAAGTCATGTGAGATCATTTTAAGTTGTAGTCTTCCTCATTGGTTTGAGCATTGGCCTGCTAAACCCAGGGTTGTGAGTTCAAACCTTGAGGGGGCCACTTAGAGATCTGGGGCAAAAATCAGTACTTGGTCCTGCTAGTGAAGGCAGGGGGCTGGACTCGATGACCTTTCAGGGTCCCTTCCAGTTCTATGAGATAGGTATATCTCCATTACAGAACTTTCTGTGAGCCTGTAAACTAATAAGGAAATCCCAACTGGGGGCTTTCCCCTCAAAAAAGTGGTTTCTCTAGGGCTTTGTGAGACCTGAGTCCATACATGCTGCAGAGGGACATTAGGAGGCCTCGATCCTTTACCGAATACAGTAGGACTTCTTACATGAGTAAAGCTAAACATACGCATAAGGGTGTTTGTTTTAATTTACAGCAGAGATATATCAATAAGTGACCAGGATGAGAAACTTTCCTCTTTGTCAGCCCATGACTGCATAATAAAATGGCAATGGATAATTCCTGTCATAAAGTTGAATGCTGCTAGTACATTGTAATCCACAAAAATCATGCTGGAAGTAGTGGGCATCTGAAGTTGCCCACAAATATCCATTTGCAGGAGACTCCCATGCTATAGATGCCACTGGTTTGTTTCCAGCAGGACTATCAATAACCCTTTGAGGAATATAGAAGACTAAATTAATTCTTCTGATACATGCTCGGACAGTAGACTTTTTATGTGTAGGGGGTTATGGCTGGAGAAACCCCTGAAGGAATCCTAATCTTCAGGCCCTTAACACTAGCCAAGTGACCCGATTTAGGGAGTGAAAATCTTCAGAAAATACACTGGAATTTACATATATTTCCATAATGTAAATAGGTCATTCCACACAGTAAGCATGTTTGGGGTGGGTAAGTATTAGGATAAAAGACCTCCAAAGAGAACTTAGATGTTTGAGGAAATGGTGTTGATGAGTCAGTATGTGGTTCTTTTCACTTTGAGACAACACTAAACTGGTACCACAGTTAAGAGATGCTGTGATGTTGGAGGTTTCCTTTTTTAGATTAAGTGTAAGCGTTAAATTCTCAGTTGGTGATGTCAATGGTACTATACGAGTTTAAACCTGCTGAAAATTTTCCCCCTTATATGTAAAACCAGTAGCTGAAAGCCCATACTGTCTCACAGGTGTAAGTCATAAAACAAAACACACACACACACAATTTTGTTTTGTTTAAAGGCCAAAAATGGTTGAGAACTTAAAAATTAGATAGTAACAGACCACAAATCCATGATGATTGAATCTGATACTCCAAAGAAAAAAAGCTCTCCATTATGCTTGTAGCTATTTCTATCCCTCCACTCAACAGATATTCTAAACTTCAACATAAGGTTTGGGTTTAGCCTTTATTCAGACAAACTCACATTACCTTCAGTAAAACACTATCTACGGGGGTATCTGGGCTGTTTTCCTTTCTTGCAGCTTTAGTCTATTGGGGCCTGGGTACTCAGAGCCCTGCTATCTAGCTTGCTTTTGGAGGGGGCTGTTCTTCTGTATTTTGTCTGTCTTCCTTGCTTTCTATGGAGTACATACACTCCAATACGATTTGCTGCAGGGTTCTAAATCAACTTTCTCAACTCAGGAAAAACATGTGGGCATCGTTGCGAGAGCAGTGAGAGAGTGTAGATACATATTTACACACTTAAATATGGATGCAGGAGCCTAACTTTAGGCATCCATTTTTTTAAAACTCTTGGACTATATAATTCAATTGCTATAAAATATAGCAGTTGCCCTGCTTGATGATACCAAAGGTCCATCTAATATACCTATTGCTCACAGTGGCCAATCCCAGCCAGACTAGGTAGTTAAAGGAACATGAAGTAGGCAGTTAAGGGATAAGCAGCCCTCTCCTAACCCTGATTAGTTAGTTTGCTCTGAAGCTTGAGAACTTAGATCCTTTCCCAAACTCTTGTTTATTTTTTCAATATTTACTATTATAATTCTGCTTATTCTTGTTATCCTTGTCCAGTCCTTTTTTAATTGATGCTGAGGCCTTGGCCTCAATGATATCTTACAGGTTCCACAGGCTAATTGTGTTGGGTGGAGAAAAAAATTCCTTTTTAACAATTTGACATTTTCCACCTAAAATCAACCTTTTTTTAATGCCTAGAAAATTAGTTTCCCTGAACTCATAGGCATTTAGTGAATTCTGGTGACACGTTTACAGTCTGTGACTTGTTCTAAAAGAGTGATTCCATAAGGACATAAGAATGGGCATATTGGGTCAGACCAAAGGTCCATCTAGCCTATATCCTGTCTTCCATCAATGGCCAATGCCAGGTGCCCCAGACAAATGAACAGAACAGGTAATCATCAAGTGATCCATCCCTTGTCGCCCATTTCCAGCTTCTGGCAAACAGGCTAGGCATACAATCCCTGCCCATCCGGGCTAATAATCATTGATGGACCTCAAGTATCAGGGGGTAGCCGTGTTAGCCTGTATCTACAAAAACAACAAGGAGTCTGGTGGCACCTTAAAGACTAACAGATTTATTTGGGCATAAGCTTTTGTGGGTAAAAACCTCACTTCTTCAGATGCATAGAGGAAGTGAGGTTTTTACCCATGAAAGCTTATGCCCAAATAAATCTGTTAGTCTTTAAGGTGCCACCAGACTCCTTGTTGTTATTGATGGACCTATCCTCCATGAATTTATCTAGCCCTTTTTTTGAACCCTGTTATAGTCTTGGCCTTCACAATATCCTCTGGCAAAGAGTTCCACAGGTTGACTGTGTGTTGTATGAAGAAATACTGCCTTTTGTTTGTTTTAAACCTGCTGCCTATTAATTTCATTTGGTGACCCCTAGTTCTTGTGTTATGAGAAGGAGTAAATAACACTTCCTTATTTCCATTCTCCACACCAGTCATGATTTTATAGACCTCTATCATATCCCCCCCTTAGTCATCTCTTTTCCAAGCTGAAAAGTACC